GGGTGTGCAGTCTCAGTCTCTCTCTCTCTCTCTCAAAATAAATAAAACTTAAAAAAATATATGTGTTTAAAATGTGTTTTGCTGGCTGCCCAACTCCTGACATTTTTACTGCTCCTATGACTACTTACTCCTTAGGGCTATATTCGCCAAGCATGGTCCATGGAGCACGATGGGCCCTTGAAAAATGCAGATCCCCAAGACCTGATTGAATCCTACCGAATCAGAACTTGGGTGTGGGGTAGGAAACGGGTCCCAGACATCAGCACTTAAAATAAGACCCCAAAGGGATTCGATGCACACCCAAGTTTGAAAGTCACTGCCTTAGAGAGAGATAAGGCTCGTTCAACAATGGGAAATTTTTAAGCCCAAGAACTGAGTGCTGACTGTGGTGGAATCAAAACCAAGAGGAAAGTGTGGGCTGGAGGTACTAGTAGGAGTTCCCGTATCTCCCTTCAACCTCCATTACGGTCCAAATTACTGTCACCCCCCTTCCCCCATAGGGCTGGTCAAAGGGTGGTATTAAGATAACAAACCACAGGTCTGGGCTCTCCATGGTTTGGCCTTGATGCCCTCTCTCATTCTCAAGTCCATGCCAGGCTGGCCAGGTTAGTGGCCTCTCTTCGCACATCGGCCGTGCTCATGTGGTCACGTGCCCAGGCCAGACTCCATGCCCTTGCCCATGCTGCCTCTTCCCCCCACCCCGCCATATACAAAGCCTCACCTCTGCCCCTTGATACATCTCAATCCTACACATCTTTTCTAAGTTCTAACTCCGTATGAACCTTTTCTGTCCACCTCAGAACACCATCTTCTCCGTTATTTGAAATTTTATTACCCTGAGAAGCAGTCTCAGGTTTGGGTGTTTTGGTTAGCATTTAGTATGCCATGTAGGACCCATCTTGCCAGCTATATTTGGAAGTTCCCTAGGCAAGGACACTATTGTGTTACTTATTTAGTAATTTTGAGAGAGAGAGAGAGTGCGCACAGGGGAGGGGCACAGAGAGAGAGAGAGAGAGAGGACCCCAAGAAGGCTCCGCGCTGTCAATGAGGAGCCCGATGCAGGAGTCAAACCCACAAACGGTGAGATCATGACCTGAGCGCAGATCAAGAGTCGAAGGCTTACGCGACTGAGCTACCAAGGTACCCTGACACTATTGTAATTTAAAAAAAAAATTTTTTTTAATGTTTCTTTACTTCTGAGAGAGAGAGAGAGAGAGAGAGAGGGCCAGAAAGAGAGGGAGACACAGAATCTGAAGCAGGCTCCAGGCTCCGAGCTATCAGCACAGAGCCTGATGCGGAGCTTGAACTCACAAACTGTGAGATCCTGACCTGAGCTAAAGTCAGAGGCTTAACCGACTGAGCCACCCAGGCGCCCCACTATTGTACTTTTTACCATTTCCCTTAATTTTTAGCACTGAGTGCAAAGTAAGTAAACAGTGCAAATCTATTAAATTCTCATTAAACTGTCGGTTGACGGAAAATACTTGCCTGCCCGGAGGACTATGTGATGATGTCCACCTCCCCTATCCCATCTGGCCACTGTCAGCACTCACTGAGTCAGTGGTATCGTAGAGGACACTGAGAAGTTGCATAAGAAACATGCACAGAGAGGACAGCCCTCAACCAGTCATTATTAAGCACCAACTGTATGCCAGGCACTGGGTTAGGTGCTGAGAATACAGTGATTAGGAAAACATTCTCCTTATGGAGCTCCTGCCCTCCCAGAGGAGACAGATTATTCAGGTGATCATAAAGACCAATATAAGATTGCAACACGATACATATTAGAAGGGAAGGATCTGTGTGGGCACGGAAAGCAAGATACGAGAGGACCTTATCTTCGTGCAGAATCAGAAGGAAGGAAACAGTGTTGGACACAGAACTCTGAGCCTCCAGGCTGAGACTGTGCAAACCTCTCCCTATATCCACCTCTCCCCCCAGAGGCCCCCAACAACTGGAGAACTGCTTGAGTCTGTGGCTGAATCGCAACTGCCAGGTAATTAATAGGTTTTACCCCTGATGTGGCCAAATCCCTGGAATTCTCCTTGGACTTTCTGGCAATAAAATGGGTATGACAGGACAGCTCTGCTAAGGTCACACTGGAGATGAAAGAATGACCGTAATGCATTTGAACTCCTGGAAAGGTAGAGCAGTCATGGCCCCAAATCAGGAGAGTCAGCCTCAAATTTTTTTGCTAACCAACCCCAGGAAAACGTGAAGGAATGAGGGACAAGGATGTGTGTGTGTGTGTGTGTGTGTGCGCGCGCGCGCGCGCGCGTGCGCACATAATAAATTAAACTCAGTTACACAGCTCAGCTGTTCTCTTGTGACTTTCTGTGGATTCCAACAAAGGGACATTTTAGGGGGTTCCAAAAGAATCTTCTGAGGAAAATTTGGCTGCCTGTCAAATGACAGAGGGTATTGTTTACTCCTGAATAGCTTCGTCAGCAACGGGCAAATTTAACAGGATAGTTACCCTGAAAACTCAGTACGTAGGAAAAGCAGTAACATATGGAGATAGATACATGTTTTTATTATTTTTCTGTTCTTGTAAAGCTCACATAAAATGTGTTACTTGTCCTTCCCTCCTGAGAGTGTGTGGAAAGGTAGGCAAGGGGTGAAGGGAGCCACCAGAGACGTTGGCTGGCCACTTACTATAGCCCTGTTCATTCAGACGGGTTGTACTGTGCAATCTCACACATTGAAGACATTTCTTTCCAACTTTAAAACAGGAGGCTCAAAACAGCACTGTCATAAGACCCAGAAGATCCACACAGATAAGGCAGCTGATTGCACTTCACACATGTACACACACACACACACACACACACACACATTTTCAGTGACTCCATCTATGGGGCACTTTTGTATTAAAATCTGATCTGCTTCTCCTAGCCGATTTTATAGTTAATGTAATATAAAAGCAAAAGAGACCTGTTTTTACAAATATATGTTTTCCTGGCCTATCTGTATGTCTTGCTCCTCTAAGAATTCAAATACTACACATTCAGAAGACAACGTAATGAGAAGAAAGCATATTTCCGTTTTTCTTTCTAGGCCTCAAGCACCACTCTGCCTTGAGTTACAGTTTAATGCATCCGCTATTTGCATACGGGCATTGTTTCCATTCCCAGATGAGGAACCCAAGGCACAGAGAGGTTTAGTAACTTGTTCTAGGTCACAGAGCCAGCTTAGTGGTTAAAGGCATGAGTCGAATCCAGGCATATGGATGCTAGTGTCCATGGTTTGCCCGCCTCTGCTATATCCTCTCTCTGACGCCATGTTAGAGAGATGGCTGGTGGTAACTGTAATTTTCTTGGAGGAGACTGGAAAAATTCAGTGTTTCCCTAGGCTTTCCATAGGCTAATTTTTAAAACTCTTGTTTAGCTAGATGGTTAATGCTAAGGTAGTCACCAGTTAACTTATAGGAAACTAAACGCCATAAATAAATCGCAAATGGCTAATTTGTACAGCCTGAGTCAAGACTCGCAACGAAAGCAAGGGGGAGAAAATGTTTGAGCGAAGTATCTTCAGAGAAGAAAAAGCAGTAAGTTAAAATTGGCTCCCTGAGGTAAAAAGACTCTACTCTTTGCAATTTACCCAAGTGCTCGGAGGTGACTTATAATTCCCAGCCTACGCTCAGATCTGAGTTTAAAAGTGCTTCTTTTAGCAGCTCTTGCAAGGATAAATTATGACTTCAAAGCGGAAACGTCTCCATTCACAAATGGGTCGCTGACAAGGGCTTGAGGGTGCAAAGAAAGTCTAACAAGCAGAAGAAATATGGCAACAAGAAAAATGAATTTTTACCCTAGATTCCACCTCCTCTCGGCGCTTTCACGCCGTATTACGGAGAGCCTCATTCTCCCCCTTGTCACACTGGGAGGAGCACAAGAAGGGGCGCAGGTTCAATGAAGCTCCGTGGGTCGGGTCCACGCAGAAAGAGGCTGCCCGCATAAGAGGCATCGTCTACTTCTCCGAAGGATCGTGCGGCTCTCACGGCGTGGGAGTTGACCAGGACGGGAGGGCCAAGTTTGGGGGTGGAACTCTGGGCCTGAGGTGACGTGAAAATGCCCTCCAGACGTATCCCATGAAATCTCGCGGTGACCAGAGATTCAAGGTCGTTGAGGATCCGTGTAGACCTGCACCCACTTCTTGAATCTCTGTATCAAGGTGGGGTTTCCTGTCTCAACAGGAATGGGCAGTGCTGACATTGTTCCACTGCATATACAGAGGTGGCTTTGCAAATGCCAGCGTTGACAGCGTAGGGATGAAAGGAGATAGCGTTCTAGAAAGCATGAAAACCTTCCGTGCACCCAGGGGTAGGAGCCTAGAATGTCGGGTAAAAGCAGAGGGGCCACCAGGAACACCCAAGAAAGCAGTGGATGCGTGTGAAGGGTGGGGGCCTATGTTGCTACACAGACAGAGATGACAAGAGGGCACCCCCCGCCCCCATCAGAACTTGGAACCAAAGCCAGTTTGGAAGGAGTCGGTGATGCCACTGGGAAGCAATCCTTAGCACAAGTCAGCTCAGAACCTCCAGCCAGCGGGCAGTGGAATTTACTGGAAGAAGCCCTGCTCCACTCGGGTCTCTGGCTCTTGCCTCAGTTTCCAGCCTGGCACCGCACTTCTTCCCGAGGATTAAAGCATGGCTGGGACTCCAGCCACTCGGCTGAGCCCCCGATGTCTTATATGGGTCCTACCATCTTCCTCCTTCACCCCTCCCGGAGGCATGAACACGTTCCCCTCCCTCAAGCCACAAGAAAGAAAACTTAGTGAAACAGAGCTCCGTTTCATGACTAAGAAGTTCAGAGAGAACCTGCGAATATTCCCAAGAAACTGTGCCTTGCCTGTTGGCGCCCCTCGGCAAAAACGCTAACAGACTACAGGCCAGGCTTTGTGCCAAGCGCTTTGGTTAACCGCCACGGCCTCACTGGAGAAGGAGGAGTTTTTGTCCCCATTTTGTAGATGAGGCCACAAGGCCCAAAGGGGTCATGACTTACCCAGATCAGATCTGGAGTCGGCCCTTGTGTGGTACATTCCGCTCCTTCCAAGAACGTGGCGGATATGTCACATCCCCTCGCCATGTGGCGCGTCCCCTCTCTCTTCTCTAGCAGAGGTGCCAGCTTCGAGAATGGTGTCACTGGGTGAAAATGGAATCCAATTCAATACAGTCATTAGAAAACAGGATCCCCAACACAAGGTGACTGGTGTGCCGGAAAGACCCTCTTATAGAAGGTGCCCGGGCGGCTCAGTCGGTTCAGTGTTTGACTTTGGCTCAGGTTATGATCTTGCGGTCCATGGGTTCGAGCCCGCTGTCAAGCTCTGTGCTGCCCGCTCGGGCTGCTTCAGATTCTGTGTCTCCCTCTCTCCCTGCCCCTCCCCCACTAGTGCACGCACTCTCTCTCTCTCTCTCAAAATAATAAACATTAAAAAAAATTTTTTAAAGGAGCAGTTTCTTAGGTTAAGTTTATTTATTTGTTTTGACAGAGAGAGAGAGAGAGAACACAAGTGGGGAAGCGGCAGAGAGAGACAGAGAGAGAGAGAACACAAGTGGGGAAGCGGCAGAGAGAGAGAGAGAGAGAGAGAGAGAGAGAGAGAGAGAGAGGAGGCACAGAGAGAACCCCAAGCAGGCTCCGCACCACCACTGCAGAGCCTGATTTGGGGCTCAAACTCACAAACCACAGGATCATGACCTGAGCTGAAGTTGGACACTTAACCGACTGAGCCGCCCAGGCGCCCTCTTACGGTTAAGACTTCCCTCCCCACCACCCCATCTCCCTCTACTTTTGTGGTAATATAAGGAAAAAGACAAAGTCAGCATTTCAATTCTTCCTGCTGTCTTGATTCAGCCAAGAAAACATGAAAAACAGATCCAGCTCCCTGAGGAACAGAATATTGAGGAGCTGGGGTGGAAAGCGTTAGCCGGGGGAGGGGGAAGGGGCGGGAATTGGATGCATCAAGAAAAATTAGAAATGAAAACAAAAGTGAGATCTTTTATTACTGCTAATATATACCATATCAAGATACAGATGGAAGAAAACTTGGGTGAAAAAAAATAAGGAAACAAAAGAGAGGGGGAAATTCCTTTTTGCAGTTATGTCTCTTATCTCCAGTGGCATGATAATCCAGTTGGCAGTGCGCACTGAGGGTCCGCTCTTGGCCGTGTCGCGAGCCGGCTGTGTGACACTGGCCAAGACGCTGCCCATGCCTGGACCTCTAGGTTCTAGGTTTTGGTCCAGCCCCAATCTAAACAAACACATTCAATCAATTCACCAATCCACCGGCAGTTGCTTAGCATGAGTTGTTTCTACATTTTTATGCCCGTAACATTCGGAAAAGCAAAAGGTAGGGAATAAAATGGCAATACCAAGTCACCTGTTTTCCTGTGGGAAGAATTGTTTCATCTCAACGTCCTTATGAAACAATTTAAAAGTCAGCTTTAGGGGCACCCGAGTCCCCTAAAGCTCAGTCGCTTAAGCGTCCAACTTCGGCTCAGGTCATGATCTCACAGTTTGTGAGTTCCAGCCCTGTGTTGAGCTCCATGCTGACGGTACAGAGCCTGCTTGGGATTCTCTCTGTCTCCCTCTCTCTCTGCCCCTCCTCTGCTTGCACGAGCCTGCTCTCTCTCTCTCTCAAAATAAATAAACTTAGAAAAAAAAGTCATCTTTGCATATTCATACTCACATAAATGCTTTCCCTGTGATTTAAAGAAAGATGCGTACTGACATTCAGAAAAGAAAAAAAAAAAATAGCAGGTGGATAGACTGTGAAATTAACATTGCCGTATTTCAGTTCTGCCATCCTTAACCTTAGTCCGGATACAAATACAGCTGACGAAGCATGTGGGCTTGTAGAAAATAACACATATTTCATTTCCAGGAAGAGCTCGTATCATTTCCTCCAGATAAAACAATGACTTGGGGACTTAACCTTTCTTCTCTTTCTGGAAGTGAGTAAATGTTGTAGGCACAATCATCAAATCTGAGTATCTGTTTTCCAGAATACTATTGACCCTTGAGTAACATGGGTTTGAACTGCACGCGTCCCCTCACAAGCGGATTTTCTTCAATAAATACGGGAGAGTACAGTACATGTATTTTCACTTCATTCTGATTTTCTGAAATAACATTTTGTTTTCTTTAGCTTTCTTTACTGTAGGAATATAGTATATAATCCATATAACATACATATCTGTGTTAATCGACGATGTTATCGGCAAGGCTTCTAGTCAACAGCGGTAGTTAAGTGTTTGGGGGAGTCAAAGGTTATACCTGGATTTTTGACTATGTGGGGATCAGCGCCCCTAACCCTCCTGTTCAAGAGTCAAGAGTAGGTGTTTTCAGACATTCTTAGCTAAGAAGATTATCACCCACGTTTTTAAATGTTAAATACACACAGTATGAAAGCGACAAGCATAACTGACATTTTGTATCAAAATTAGTCTCCCTGGGGCTGCTGGGAACTCTGAACACTCCTCTGAACTACGATTGTGATGGAAACCTGGAAAACGGCAGACGATGTCTGGTCTGACGGAAAGAGAGGTGGAGAAGGGGTCTATACTGTCTACCCTTACCTACGAGATGCTAAGTGAAGAAACACAAGGAGTCGCTTCTAACCCTTGCTATGACGTGTTCTTTATTTAGTGCGCTCAGCCACTTAATTAGCATGCCAATTTAAAGCTTTGAAAAACTGTGTGCAAAGTCAGCAGGGGGTCTGAGCCCTGATGTTATTTTTCCCACAGCTTAATAAGTGATTTCCACCACCACCACCACCATCACACTCGCCCTCATTAGTATGTATGACATGAGTGGAATAACCATTGGGAGATTTATACCGTGCAATCTCCAGCTTAATTAATAAGAAAGGGAGCCGATTTCTAGAGGAAGTACATGTGCACAGGTTCCTACGTACCTCTGTTTAATTAATAATATAAATCCATCGCAAGGAGAGTTTAAATGTGCCCTCCTCGTTTTGTCTACCCATCTAACTATTAACTAAACTTTGTAGTAGCTTACAGATGTGAAGGTGCCGTGATCTTTGGGTAAGTGTCTATAATGCAATTATAACCTTAACATCCCTACCCCACACCAACTCAGTCATTTAGAGAGTATTCAACGAGAGTCAACCAGGCGAGGCAATGTGTTAGGGACGCAGGACACACAGGCGAACAAGGAAGAGCCCAATTTTCAAGGAACTTTCAGTTAAACAGAGGAGACAGGGATATAAATAAATGTGATCCACGGAGGGATTTTTCTGAAGGGGGGTGTGTGTATAAATTCTAAAAAGAGCCTCAGCCAATGGTGGAGGGTGAGAAGAATACAGAAGGAAGACAGAAGAGAGTTTCCCAAAGAGCTGGTATCAGAAGACAAGGGCCAGGATGACAGGACTAAGTCCATTAAGTCACATCCACCAGTCTATCCCCAGCACCTAGCACACATTCTGTGCCCAAAACAATTTTCTGAATAAGTTCACGAAGTCTGGCAGGCATAGGATGGGACAGCATTTCAGGTGAGACACAGGGACAAGGGTCAAAGGTCTCAGTTTTGAGAACCACAAGTAACTATTACAACAGAGAAAGTGGTTTGGGCAAGGAAACGATGGGGGGTGGGGGGGTGGGACTAGAAAGGGATTAATAAAAATCCTGGTTTATAAAATTAGGTAAAATAGGGGCAATGGGGTGGCTCAGTTGGTTAAATGTCTGACTTTGGCTCAGGTCATGATCTCATGATTCATGGGATGGGTCCCACTGTCAGTGCAGAGCCTGCTTGGGATTCTCTCTCTCCCTTTCTGCCCCTTTCCTGCTCATGCGTGCATGCTCTCCCTCCCAAAATTAAGAAGCATTAAAAAATTAAAAAAATAAAATAAAATTGGGTAAAATAAACAGCCGTCCTCAAAGAATATTTACTTCACTAAAACTTGGAAGCCTATGAGAGCGTATGTCAACCTCATACATAAATTCAGCATACTATTAGCGGGTGCCTTGATAACTACCCTACACCGTTTCGTGGCTGGTCATGCATGGCAGAAAGAAAATAGAGCCAGGTATCTCAATAAAAAACATATTTCTTTTCAGTTTGGAATGATGAAAAAGTCCTGGAGATGGACAGTGGTGCTCTCCATAACAGTGTGAACGTACTTAATGTCACTGAATTGTACACTTAAAATTATTACAATGGTAAACTTCATGTTCTGTATATCTTACCACACACACAAAACTATTCTTTGAGGGCCTACCAGGCCCAATAAGCACAGATTTTACCCTACAGAGTTATGGTAATGACTGAATGTTAAGCTCACTGGGTTTTCATTATTTTTTTGTTGCGATACAAGTTACACACACACAAATCTTAAGTATACAGTACCAGGGGCGCCTGGCTGGCTCAGAGGAGTGTGTGAGTCTTGAGCTCAGGCTCACGGGTTTGAGCCCAATGTTGGGTGTAGAGATTACTTAAAAATGAATAAATAAACTTAAAAAAATTTTTTTTTTAAAGAGTCCTGCTCGGGGCGCCTGGGTGGCGCAGTCGGTTAAGCGTCCGACTTCAGCCAGGTCACGATCTCGCGGTCTGTGAGTTCGAGCCCTGCGTCAGGCTCTGGGCTGATGGCTCAGAGCCTGGAGCCTGTTTCCGATTCTGTGTCTCCCTCTCTCTCTGCCCCTCCCCCGTTCATGCTCTGTCTCTCTCTGTCCCAAAAATAAATAAACGTTGAAAAAAAAAATTAAAAAATAAAAATAAAAAAAATAAAAGAGTTCTGCTCAATACGTTTTAATATATGTATATACCAGCGTCTAGATCAAGCACCCTTACCAAGATGCCGACAATTTCCAGCACTGCCCCAGGTCCCCTCCTGTGCCTCTCCCAGTAACCTCTCATTAAAGCTACTGCAACGCTGATTTCTATTTGAAGAATCTCTTCCTCCTTCTTCTTTTTAAAAAAATGTTTATTTCTGAGAGAGCACAAGCAGAGGAGAGTCAGAGAGAGAGAGGGAGAAGATCCAAAGCAGACTCCATGCTGACAGCAGAGAGCCTGACGCTGGGCTCAAACTCATGAACCTCAAGATCACAACCTGCTCAACCGACTGAGCCACCCAGGCGCCTCTCTTTCTTCTCTTGAAAATGTACGTTCAGCCTCACTGTTTCCTGATTTCAAATAAAATCTACTGAATGGTAGAAGCGTTTGGCAGCTGTTGAAAGGACAGTGTAGGTTTCATTACGGTGTCATGAAGCATCACAAACTCTGTGACTTAAGACAACATAAATGCATTATCTCTCCATGCCCAGGGGCTAAGTCCAGGCACTGGTTAGCTAGGAACTCTGCTCAGGACCTCAACAGGCTGAAATCAGGGTGTAGAAGGGGGTTGCTATTTCCTTGGAGGTGCAGAGCCCTCTCTACCCCTCACTGGCGGGGAGTAGAATTCATTTCTTCACAGCTGAGTTACTGAGGTCCCTGTTCTCTTGCGAGCTGTCAGGCAGGGACTGCTCTCAGCTCCCAGAAGCCACCCTCTGGTCCTTGCCACATGGCCCCCTCCACTCCCACCATGGCAGCAGACTGTTCTTTCAAAAAGAAGCCATCTTGTAAGGGCCCACCTGATGAGCTCATGTCCACCCACAATAATCTCCCTTCTGATCAGCTCAAAATCCACTGATAGGACCTTAATTATATCACCAAAATGTCTTTTGCCACAAACATAACACAATGATAAGGGAGTGACAGTCCATGACAGTCACACTCAGAGGAAGAGAATGTACAAAACATGCACCTTGAGGGGCAAGGGTCCTGGGGCCATCTTAGAATTTGGCCTCCTCTGGTTGTTCTTCACTTGTGTCACCTAATCACAAAAACAACAGTTTTATTTCTTTTTAAGACATTATAGGGAATTGAGAAGATCCAGATCAAAGAAAAGTAAAATACAAATTAATATTCCAATCATGATTATAACCACATAGAATCACTGTTAGTATTTTAGCAAATCTATTTCCGTTTTTTTCCTAAGCATTATAAATATGCATATGTGGGTATTTATAGAATAGGATTGCACTGTCTAATGTTAGGTAGCTATTTAAACTGAGTTTCAGTCCAGTTCACCACTGTTTTCTTGAAGGACTAGTTTCATCTTTTGATTCTGAGCATATGTGACAGACTAGCCCTGTGTTTATCTAGGTATTAAGCTCGTGCATATGTGTAAAGACATACAATTCTAAGTTTCGCTAGACCAGGATGTGCAGTAAGTGAATGCCAGCAAAATATCCATGAAGTACTGCTTTCTAGGTAGCAAGCTAGAGACAACGGGACAAGAAGAATGCTCCTCAGCTGAGGGACTGCCCAACTGAGCTTTTACTGGATAGCAGGAGGCACAATTCATGAACAGAGCCGGTGGGGTATGTCATAACTCATTTCTTTTTAATAATTTTTCTCTTTGTATTTTTTAAAATTTTTATTTATTTTTGAGAGAGAGTGACAGAGCATGAGTAGGGGAGGAGCAGAGAGAGAGGGAGACAGAATCTGAAGC